AGGAGGAGGCCAGCGGCTTCTTCGCCAGCGCCGAGGTGCTGTGGCATGGCTAAGAGGGGTGCTGAGGGGGACCCAGAATGCCAAACAGAAGGAAGGAAGAAAAAAAAAAATCCACTAAAAAAAAAAGAAGGAAGAACTCTCGGAAACATTTCCATTCTCAATGCTGCATCAGATTCCCGACATTTCAGTTCAGGTGCGATTTTAGGTGGTTTGCCGCATCCGGGCTGCAAAACGCACGCGAGTTAAGACGTACGGTACGGAGCCGCAGCATCTTCCTGCAGACATCAAAGGATCTAGGGGAATACATTTCTTTCAGGATCCTTTTCCTCCATCACACTACCGCACACGTGACGGCAGAAACGGCAATTCTTGGCTGAATTGTGATTTTTTGGGGGGGTTTGGGGGAAGTGTGTTGTTTTTCTGGGTAAGCGGTCCTTGTCTTTGTGGGCTTTTGCCCGCAAAGTTTAGCCTATTCCTTTGCAAAAAGTGCACCGGGGCGCGTGTTGTCTTACGGAAGAATAATAAATGTTTGCTTTATAAGTCTCATTGGAAAGGTTCAGGGCTCTGTTTCCTTATGAGACCAATAAAATGCAGAACAACAGCCCTTTGTGCAATCTCCCTTACTCATGTAAGAATACTGTGAGGAAATAACTAATAACAAAAAAATAGTGTCCCTCCTTTGACAGTTAATTCAGAATGCATTAATTACCTAATTACAGGGAAAGAAATAACATTAAACGAGCAAGTTTTTCAACAGAATCTACAGCAAATGATGCAATCCCCAGGCTGGGAGCAGTGATTATTGACTGTGCCTTTCTCCAGAGAGAATTCTTCTCCGGGTGACAAGTTGGGGAGAATTTTTGTCGTTCTAAAACTCTGACATAACACGCAGCCTTTCTCCTCCAATTTCAAATGCGTTCAGGTTTCAAAGGTCAGTGAAATCTGGGGAAAGACTCTCGTTTCCTGAAGTAACTGCAGATTAAGCCAGAATTCCCGTCTCACCCCGGGGACGGGGTGTTTTGGGGAGGTTGTGTGGCTTTGCGCCGAGTCTCCTTCCCTACCTCACCCCACATTTCCGTAACGTGGCAGCTCCGAACCTGAGCCAGGGGTGGATTGCAAACCCCTCCTGGAACTGGGAGGAAAGCCCAGTTGCAGTTTTGGAACCCCCGTTGTCCTTGCAATGACTCTTTTCGGTGGGGGTGGGGGGCACCAGCGTGCCCAGTAATGCTCGCGCTGGAAGATAGCTGCTGAACTGGTTCATTAACTGTGGGTGCACCATAAGGTCCTGTCCTGCCCCCCCGCCCCGTCGCGATACGGCGGCCCGTCAGGAAGTGGTGTCAAAGGAGACAAGGATATTTCCCAGCAGGTCCCCTTCGGTGGTGTTTTATGTCCCTTTAGTGGCAGCTCAGCCTGCACAATGGTGGCAGGATGGGACACAAACAACCCCGTGAGTGAGATGGAGCTGTGCAGATGTGTCCAGCTGCTGCTGC